TTCGTTTATCAACGAAGAATTTAAGAAAGGTAAGTTATAAATCATGGCAGTACCGAATAATTTCTAACTGAAAATAATACTTCGGGTACTAATAGTCCAACAGCAGTAAATGAACTAATAAATAAACTCATCATAGATTCCAGCTTAAAGTTTTGTACGCCAGACGCGAGTTTCATCTTCAAAAGACTCATCAGTGACGCTCGAATCAAAAAAGATAAAAAGGCCAAAAAATAGTACGAAGTTAAAAAGAACTGAGGACCCAAAATTCCGAAAGATTTTTCCAAATGCGACCAAGGTAATCTATTCATGACTAAAAACTTATTTGTCTTTGAAAGAATGACTGAACTGTTAGATATATCCAAAAAAAGTAGTATTTTCACTGTGTGTGATATGTTGGGCCTTTACTAAGTTAAGTTCTATGTGATGGCGAATAAGAGCAGCCAGATGGGTCGGTCCGACGGTCGATGTATAACATCATTTTGTGTTTAAAGTCTTAGAAATTGTACAAAAAGAGTAGTGAAGGCAAATGAAACACATTTTATTTGAAAGTAAGGTGAGATATTGTTCCTGTACAAACTTTTGATTGAAACTATTATTATTACTGCAGTATATAAAAGTGTTGAATAATTCATCTTTGTTGTGTATATCACTACACATGGAACATGACAAAAACAAAATAAATTTAGTCAATGCACAATTCATTAATCAATTGGAAGAATGATTAATCTATCTATAATATTCCAATCCAAGACATTCAATCATGCACATTGTAATGGTGATCATTCAAGCATTTATTTAGTAGTAAGCCTGATTCGGTGACCTAAATCAAAACGTAGGTTCTTTACCATATACATCGATGGTGGCAACCCAATATAGATCCGCTTGTTGACAGGTATGCCCATTGTAGGTAGTAAATCGTCTTGAAATTTGTATCTTTAAGGAGAATATTACAAGTTTCACAATGTGTGTATATTATGTTACAGAACAATGTTTCACATTTTTACTTAGGCAAGTCTATTATATCCGAAAAATTGACAGTCTATGATTATTTAGTTAGAAATAAAGTTTTTTTTAAATACATTTGTCCGCCGCCTATGTATTTGAAAGACAACAAAATATTATGCTATCGGTAAAATACTTAAGTTAGAATAAATAAAAAGCTTTTAGAATTATTTGTTAGCACCAGGTCACCTTTACGCAATATATAAGTATAAAACTGTTAACTTATAATTTGAATGTGTATGCTAACGAACTGTTAATGTATACTTATTGACTGTTTATATGTTAATGTAAAATTAAATTTAAATAATTAACTAAACTCTTTTTATTAAATCAGTTTGGACAAAAAAAGGACATTTTGATACATCACTTCATGAATATTTTACTTCAATAGCCTTACTCGATAAATAAGCATTTATTATTCTTAATTCAAAGCCGTGTGTGTTCTTCTCTACCTAATGAACATTAAGAGATGAACGAATGATAGCGTATCGTTAAATCAAATTCGTTTTATTTTTATTTTTAACTGCTTAGGTAAACCAGGCTTTACACTATTATTTCAGGTTAGGGTGAAGGTAGGCGCCTGTTAAAACGTTTAAACCCGCTGCATTTGTTTGCACCTGTCCTAAGTCAGGAACCTGTTGTTCAGTGGTTGTCGTTTGTTGATGTGGTTCATAAGTGTTTCTCGTTTCTCGTATTTTATACAGATTAGACCGTTGGTTTTCCTGTTTGAATGGTTTTACACTAGTCATTTTTGGGGCCCTTTATAGCTTGCTGTTCGGTGTGAGCCAAGGCTCCGTGTGGAAGGCCGTACTTTGACCAATAATGGTTTATTTTTACAAATTGTGACTTGGATGGAGAGTTGTCTCATTGGCACTCATTCCACATCTTCTTATATCTATTTGTCCTAATTCAACATTTTTGTCCATTGTTTTGAAAGCCAGATATAAGATAAGACAAATCATATTGGTCTTCTGAACCTTTAAATCTTCAAATGTCACTTTTACACTACTAGAGCAAAAAAAAAAAACGACTTAAAAAGTAGCATAGTTTTAATGCCATTATGTTATCCCAAGTCGCAATACTTACTATTTGGAAAACCCTATCGGAATTTTTGGCTCTCAATGCTCTTCAACTTCGTGCTGTCTTTGGCCTTTTAACGTTTTTGATTTGAGCGTCACTGATGAATCTTTTGTTGACGAAACACGCGTCTGGCGTACAAAATTATAAGCCTGGTATCTTTCGTGAGTTTTTTTTTAGGAGGCAATTGCTCACCTCGTCCCTTCATACTTCTCCATCCTTTGTGTTTAGCCGGCCGACTTAAATGTAAAGAAATTGTTCGATAAAAGATTTTAAAAACACCTGTTCCAATGCTAATACATATTGGCCTGAATAAATTATTTATTTTGCTATTGTGCGTCTCTTTCTGAATGCATGAAATATTTGCCACTGGGTGTTAGCAAACAACCATCATTATTACTGTCCGTTTTTGTTAAGTTTTTTTTATGTGTTAGTAAAATCAATTGTTCTGTGTATTTGACGATTGTGGAACAATTTTTCATGCGTTTAGCATATGAGGTGACGAGGGTTGTGGGGATGAAAATAAAGTGACCTGGATTATCCACCAGACAGTTTACCCCATGCTAATAGGAGGACATCCGTGTTGATAATTAGAACTAAAATATTACGCAGAAACGTCCGGTCGAAATTTGACTGTTATATCTTATGCCTCGTGCAGAGAGAATGCAATGCTCGGCCGTATGTGGTCTGTAAAATCTGATCAGATTGGCAGAACATATTTACTACAGTTACAATGTATTGTAAGATTGTATAAATAAGAACACATTAAAAAGGGAAAGTATGTTGAAATACTAAAGAAAATTCAATGAAAAATCAAGATTCCTCCTTCTAATGTTGAACATCATGTAAAAGAGTATATAAGGGAAATGTTAAACGGGTAAATTGCAAATGGTGGCGAAAGCATCCTTCTTAGCCTTTAAGAATTATGTTATATAAAAAGTAAAACAACAAAAATACCGAACTCCAAGAAAAATTCAAAACGAAAAGTCCCTTAACAATTGGCAAAATCAAAAGCTCAAACACATCAAACGAATGAAAAACAACAGTCATATTTCTGACTTGGTACAGGCAGTATATGCTATAACTGGCTTAATATCAAGGACCTTATTTTCCCATTAGTCATTTGTAACCTGACGACCACGTGTAAAGGAAGCAGCTGGGATCAAGTATGCAAGTGAGTTGTCAACCTGTGAGTAGCTGAACTGTTTCATGTGTATTTTTACTTTTACGACATATCTCGGATATGGGAATGGGGTAGGTCTTTGCGCATGTAAAACTGCTTAACCCCACCTAATTGCGTGCCTTCACAAAGGCAGGCTATATGGTGTATGTGTTTTCGTTGGTTTTTGTCTCGCATTGACGGAGTCAAAAAGCGAGACATAGGTATGCTGTTTCCGGCGTCGGCGTCGTCAACAATGTATTAGTTAGTGATTAGGTCTAGTTCATGGTGAACCACTAGTGGTAGGTCAATGATATTTGGTATGCAGTTGTATTAGCATTGGCACATCTCATTACCATGGAGATTATTTGGCTCCGCTCCCTCAGTCAAGGTCTATTGACTTTGAAACTTTTCTTAGTTTACATGTATTAGTTTGTGATTAGGTCAGTTTATGGGGAACACTAGTGGTAGGTCAATGATATTTGGTATGCAGTTGTATAAGCATTGGCATATCTCATTTCCATGGAGATTATTTGGCCCCGCCCCTCATTCATGGTCTATTGACTTTGAAACTTTTGCTTAGTTTTCATGTATTAGTTTGTGATTAGGTCAGTTTAAGGGGAACCGTTAGTGGTAGGTCAATGATAATTGGTATGCAGTTGTATAAGCATTAGCACATCTTATTTTCATGGAGAATATTTGGTCCTTACCCCTCGGTTATGGTCTATTGACTTTGAAACTTTTGCTTAGTTTACATATATAAGTTTGTGATTAGGTCAGTTTAAGATGAACCACTAATGTTAAGTCAATGATATTCGGTATGCAAATGCATTGGCATTTGCAAGCTTCATTTCCTTGGAGTTTATATAACGCCACCCCCTAATTATGGTTCATTGACTTTGAAACTTTTACATAGTTTACAAGTTAATGTTTGTGTTTAGGTTTGTTTAAAGGGAACGACTTATGAAAAGTCAATGGTATTTGGTTTGCAGTTGTATTAGCATTGGCACATCTCATTTACATGGAGATTGTTTAGCCCTGTACCTTCAGTCATGGTTCATTGACTTTGAATATTTGCATAACTTACATGTTAAAGTATTGCTGTTTTAATTTCAACATTTGCAATATCAAAATAACAAATAGGCGAGACATATCTCTGTGTTAACAGTTTATTTGTCTTTAAGTGTCTATTTTCTGGGAGAAGGGTGTTTCTGTTTGCTATGGTTTGTTTTACTGTCCAATATTTTTTAGAATTCCTGTTATCCTTGCATTATAAGACAATCGAAAGCATGATAACAACATATGTAAAAGGTTAAAAAACCTGTCAAACAGTTTCCGCAAATGTACTTTCAGAACAGAGCAATACTTTCACAGGTGTTTTACAGCTTCAACTTAGATAACATGATGTTCTCAGTTCTGTAAAAACTTTTGACAGTCATCCCTCAATATAAAGGATTGTCGGCAAACATTACGGATGTTCACCTCGCCCTATTGAAAATTCTGTTGAAAATTCCAGATCTGCTTCATGAAATGTTGAAACAAAGTATTAATTTGGGTATATTCAGTAAATTTTTAATGGTTATTAATGAAGAATTTCAGAACCTTTGGCGTACTTATGAATTGTACATTGAAGTAAAGGGATTTATATGTTTAAACAAACTTATAGTAAGAAATGCAACGTTTTATCTGTTCCATGATTACACGTATTTCTTAAAACAGCCACTATGCTATTTCTCTTTGAAATAGATAATAGAACACAACAAAGATACAAGATCATATATTATTTTCTTGAAACATGAACTTCTTTAAATAAAAGTTAATTATCACAGATATAAACATTCTTTAAACCATTTTGCTATTTGTTTTGAACTTTTATGTTACTGAAGAATAGACCCATGGTCTCACAACAGGGAGCACAGAAACAGTCCATACAAATACTGTAATACTTTCTCCATGCACCACATTCAATTCTATAAGCAGATAAACCGGGACTGACACACCAGATGTGCTCGAAAGCCAAACATGCGAAACAACATCCCCAATATAATGCGATACATATTCCACAGATGGCTGTCAAAAACTTATAACAGCAACTCTTTCCTCCTTCAAAACATCTGTAGCTGTTTTTCCATACACAATCAATAGCGTGAGCCCCTGGTACTTCTGCAAGGATATCGTCAAAGGCAACCTAAATAAAAAAGATTTCATAAGAAAATTGTTTACAAATGAGAATATAACTGAAATGTTATCCACGTAAAGTATGCTTTAAAAATTAATCGGGGTTTAGACATTTCTAGGACAACTGATATTTAAGGTCGAACACAATACATTAGCCGAGACCACAGCGTGAGCATAACAGATCATTTAAAGAAGAAAGTTAAATAAAACACTGGTGGTCAAACGACATCGTTTACAACTGTTTTGTGTCTAATAACACGTAATTATTTGAGTAAATCGAATTAGTGGTCAACATATTATATACAACAATTATTTTTTCTTTATTTAACCAGGGAATTTAGAAAACCTGTATTAAAACACTATTTCTAAATAAAGTGTTTTTCCACTATTCTATGTAGATGAAATTATACAAAAAAATATCAAATATGTATAAGAATATATAAGTGTCGCTAAAGATAATATCATTGTATAGCAGCAACATATTTAACACAGAACATAACCAAAAATTAGCATGAAGTTTTTTATATGTCATGGTGCATGCCAACAGAATGAGATATTTGTAATGTTTTGAGTCATTGCAAAGGCTTGTGATTTTACCCTAGTTATAAACATCCAGAAAACACATCGTTAGTTTCCTAAAAAGTATATATTAGAGCTGGGTTAAATACAAGTTATTATCATTCATTTCATTAAGGACAGCTAGTCACTTTATCAAAAAGCTACATTATATTCTATTGGTATAACTAACTGGTGTCTATTCCTTTGTCATAAACACAATTGATCTCTTTTTTTAGTTGTATTTTGTTCATGCAAATGTTACACTGCATTCAAATGTTAATAATAGCAGTTCAGTTAATGAATAATTCAAAATTTTGTGATAAAAGGGTAAACTGCATAAACGCAATTACATACCTTTATATGATCATTAATACTATTAGGATCCCTGTTTTCCATATCTAATTGGTCTGCCATCTTTTATGGTGTCAAAGAAGACAAGGGTACAACGAAACAACTATAAAATACTATGTATTCTTATATACATGAGCTTTTATACGTCCACTCCGTACTCATGGTTACAATATTCTACGTTCTCTTTAGGCTCCATAAAGGTTCCGAGGAGGTACAAAATATGATGTTGTAGTTATAAATAAAAGAAAGACACATTACAATATATTTTTTTACTATAAAAAGTACAAAACTAATTAAAGTAAGATCCCAATTCAATTTTGTTGAAAAAATCAACAGCTATGAAAGATCCTATGAAACTACTAAATTATCCCTCTATCACCCTCGAATGCACGATGAAGCATAAAGCTCAATGGTAACCTTTATATCAAAATCTAATAAAAATATGTAATAACGGATCTCCTTCTCTATTCAGGTAAAACTGAGATTGGGAAATGAATGTACCCACCATTGTGTATCTTTTATTAAAATTTGCATTCACAATATTCAATATGTATTTTGCTCTTTGTGTTTTATGATTTGATAACAACGTATTTCAGTTTTACATTATGACAATACTATTAAATGGAAAAAATTAAATATTAGTGAGGATATGATTTTTATAGATATATCCTTTGCGCCATTAAATAATGTATTTCACTAAATATAAACTTTGCTCCAATGTACAGTTTAAAGAAGATGCCACTTATTATGGCTTATAAATAGAGAAGAATTTAAACCCGAAGACACGCAAACACATTTTCTTATTAAACGAAAACAGCTATAGTTAATGAAAAAGAAATCAAAGCGAATGAATTGGGATTAATAAACCCTATTTCATGGGACCAATAAAACAACATCGCCAACAAAAAATGGAAAATTTGATAGGGAACAAAAAACTGTTTCTTTTGTCGTAAATGTTTGTATAGTTTCCCGTGTGAATCTATAAATATCTAAATATAGGAAAGGACAGTTCTTGCTGTTTATATTTGATTTATTTAAATTACTTTCCTTTGGATTGCCAGTACATTTAAAGAATGCTTCATTATTTAACGCAAACACATAATCAAGGCAACGTTAGTGTTGTTGTATTTATCAATTGAATTTAGACGGATCGGATCGTCTTTACTGAACTTGATTAAAAACTGTTATTCATAACAATATAGGAACAAATCTGCTATTACAGGGGCGCAAAATGGTGCCCAAATGAATACCTACAACCTGTTGATAAATTGTACTGCCTAAACATACATAGATCATGTCAAGGAGATAACTTGCTGCTTTAATCTTCTTATCACATAGTGACACTGCCAGTAAGTATCTAGAAAATTTATTTTTTTCGTTACAGAGGAAGGCTTAATATGAGTTGTAGCAAATACACTTGCAATCTTTTTTTCAAAAGACCATTTCAAAAAATAAGAAAAGATTTGTTTGATAGGATTGTGTGGAAGTGTTTGGTTCAATTTATTGACACATTGTCCACACTTTCACTGATTTTGAGTTTGATACATGGTATGGACACTTATTTATTGTTAACAAAGACCATGTGTTGGCCTCTGTATAATGGAATGTCAATAATATTTGAACCTCTGACTTTATATCATTTTTATTTTTAGCTAAAAGATGTATTACGCAATTATGTATATAAAAAAAAGTAAAATAACAAAAATACCGAACTCCAAGGGATATTCAAAACGGAAAGTCCTTTGTAAAATGGCAAAATCAAAAGCTCAAATACATCAAACGAATGGAAAACAACTGTCATATTCTTGAATTGGTACAGGCATTTCCTTATGTAAAAAATGGTGTATTAAACCTGGTTTTATAGCTAGCTAAACCTCTCACTTGTATGACAGTCGCATAGAATTCCATTATATTGACAACAATGTGTGAGAAAAACAAACAGACATAATAGGTAAAAATGTCAAAAATTGGGGTACAGCAGTCAACATTGTAATATAATCTTAATCACTATAAAAACAAATAACTACTTCAACAAATTTTCTTATATATTGCATAGATAATTTAACATATGAATAATGCACACGAATGGCATGAAAGAAACTGAGGTCAATGTATGCATTACAAAAATAAAGAATAATGTCAATGTATTAGACGATTTAGAAATCCAGTAAGCATTACATTCGTTAAATCATAAAGACTATTGAATTTCGGATCCATTATTTTTTCTAGCGAATAACAAATAGGTGTTCCTATGTGAGCTCGTCTCTTTTATATAAATCTTTGCTTGGCATAAATAAAATTTTCTACTTGGCATAAACAGAAAAATGGCAGACTAGTTTGATCTCGATAACAAGAACCAAAACTCCATTCAGGATCGTATAAAGGTTATATATTTATATAATATTTTATTCATCGAGTCATTAGTTGACTCATTTCCTCTGTATTTATTTCACTCACATAGTCAAAAACAGAAAGGTGTTTAAACCTACTAGAATTCTATTATTAATGATTATATTTTATACGATTTCAAAAAGATGCAACCGTTTTGTATAGTTCCGTACTATTAGAAAAATTTTCAGTTCTAGATTTTGCTGTTGAACATAGTAAATGTTTTTGTAAAATCTTACTTCACAGGACATTGTTAACCGAAATAAACTAATTTGTATCTAAAAGATAATTTATACAAGTGCTTCTTATATAATTTTGGCTTTGGTGAACAATGTCCTTCCTATTCATTCATTTGTATATATAATTTGAATAATTATGCAAATTTTGCAAAATTGTATCAAAATTGCTGTTTTGATGGATCTTCATGCACTTATAATTTGGTCGCATGTTCGACAATACGTCAAAATGTGTTAAAACCTTTAAGAAGAGAGGTTATATGAATCTATAATACAGCGCATTTTAGTCAAGATTCAAGGACATTTAGAAAAATGCCCCTGTTTGAAACAAATTCAGTTGACATTGGCCCTATTTCTTTCCCTCATCTATAGCAGCTAAGTCCACATTCGTAAAATTTTCATAGACGTAGTTGTTATGAATAATTCTCAAACCATGCGATTTTTTTTCACAAAAAAAAATCGTAAGGATTGGTCATTTCGCATACATAAGAAAAAATAAAATATGATATATCCATTTATTGATATTTGATAATAGATTTTTCGTAATTCAGATTTCATTTCATGGATTATATGTATTAATACATGTCTATAAAAGCAAAGATTTATAAAAAAAGATATGAGCTCACATAGGAACACCTATTTTATATTCGCAAGAAGAAATAATGGATCCTACTTTCAATATTTTTTATGATTTAAAGAATGTAAGGTTCTTAGATTAAACTCTCTGTGTAAATACTAACTTTCTAAAACATTTACAAGTGCTTTAGTTATAAGTTACAAATTGAATTGACTCAAACGGAAAGCGATAATCGGTAGCCATCAAGATTTTTTCATTCATTTTTATAGATTTTGTGTAGTTCCTATGATTTTAAAACTATAAACGACTATGCATTAGGAAATGTTGTTGTTTTTTTTTTTGCATAAAGCCATAAATTTCAATTGTTAAGCTACAGAACGACAGACCAACAATATAAACAATGATATTTCAAAAGAGAGGCAAAAGATACCAAAGGAATAATCAAACTCATTAGTCAAAAACAAACTAAAAATGCCATGGCAAAACAAAAAGACAAAAAGACAAACAACAGTACACAAAACACATCATAGAAAACTAAAGACTGAGCTACACGAACCCAACAAAAACAGGGGGTGATCCCTAGTGCTTCGGAAGGGTAAGCAGATCCTGCTCCATATGTGACATCAAATATCATAAAACTTTCAACAATAAAGAAAAAATGTATAATTATTCTTACAAGAATGTTTATGTAAATACTTATAGTTCAAGAAATATTCGAATATCAAAATATCTATTACAAAATAACACGTAACTTTAAATCATATGTTAGTTCTATTGAAACTTGAATAGAATGGATTATTGTTACTTTCGTCAAGTAATTGTTCCCGGCTACTTAAAAAAAAAGTTAAAATTTTCTGATTTTCACAATTGAAATATTTTAAATCACAAACGCACTTTGAAATATTTGAAAATCCTTCATGTGTCAAATAACGTATAACTATGCCGTCTTTCAATCGTTGTAAGTAAATAGCATTACAAAAATCTATTTAAATAAAAATTCAAATGTAAGAACGGAATAATTACAGTTGTCAATATTGTAATGATTAATCTGACCTTAAAAAACCTTCGCTTCTATTTGTAATGTATTCAGATTCTTAAGGTCAAGCTTCATTGTACATCTTTTGATGATATATCAAAATGAACATAATTAAAAAATGAGTGTTTATTTGTAGTCATGTCTACCGTAAATAACAATTTAATTATATAGACTTAATCAAAAGGGTAGAATACTCAATTAAACAAGTACACTACGTTCATGTATTTTCATGTATGATTTTGATTGCATATTTCAATGAAAACTTAGACAAACTTGTTGATGCAAAACAAGTGAATAACACTGATTTAATCTAACCCTACTTCGTTTGAAAAAAGAATCAATACATATTCTCTCGTGAAAATTTATTTTCTCGGGCTTGTGGTATAATTTTAGGCAAGCTTAAAATCAAAGTATAGCTATTACTTTTGGCAATCAATGTACAATTACCATTTGTGTATAATATTAGTTAGCCATTGCAACTGAACGAACTCGATTTATAATACATGTATCTTATTAAATTCTTATGTGCAAATATTTGATACTGTGCCATTTGTCCCTCTGTATTTACATTGTTCCAAATAGTCTAAACTGTCTGAATGTCTGAATGTCTGTCTGTCTGCCGCTCTTCACTTTTGTTTACAGTTCGAAAGTGTTTGTATTTTTTAGATGTTCTTAGCAAAACCGAATAGATCTTATTATTTTAATATTGCTGAATGAAAGATTTTTTACTTGGTTTCCCACTTGAAACACACCTTTATAGATAATTGTCAAAGATGTGACGCTTAATTGTATAAGACTACCAACTACAAATGTTCATTATATCTTGTCTTGTGGCAAACATTTTGTCTTTCTGTCGTAAAATTTTTAATTTCTACTTTTGATTATGAAAATAAAATTTCAACCTTTTTAAAGTTTTCAACGTGCACTATATTACTGGTTTTACTGCAACTGGTTCTTTAAAAAATATATCAGTACTCAATTGCCACTGGTTCTTTACAGTTATTTTACTAAAGCATCATGAGTCCCATGGTTACACAGCATGGCGCGTAACAACAATCCATGATTATACTGTAATATCTCCTCCCAAGCTGCACATTCTATTCTATAGTACCGCAAAAGGGGGGATGCACCAAATGTGTTCATATGCAACACATGAAATAATGCATTTCCAATATAATGCAATGCAAATGCCGCATAAAAGCGTCAATAGTTTGTAACATGTGCTTTATATATTCGACTTGGTTCGAACTCCCAGAGTTCACCGTCATTCTCTCGTCCATAGTCTATCGTTAGGGAACTGAATGCATGTTGAAACACGTTTAAATAAGGTTTGATTATAAAATTTATCAACAGATCGAAGTCAAATTCATGTAGTAATAATTGTACAGGACCACTTAATCTTCAATCTAATTAAAATATAGATCTCGGATTTCGTTCGTATGTAGTATAACGTAGTATAACGAAATCCGAGATCTATATTTTAATTAGATTGACTGAATCTTAATCCTATGTCATTTTTTTTTAATCGAAATTATTCTTTTCTATGTATCAATGTCATATTTTTCTGTTAGATTTCAAGTAAAATGGGGGGGGGGGGGGGGCAATGTTTAGGTTGAAGGGGGCAATCTGACCAGTAGAAAGTGTACTGCACGATTAAAATAATAATTTGGTTTTCCAAAACATTGTACGAATGAACGAACCTAATGAATTAGTCCAGGGAATCTGAGGTTTTACCTCAAACAAATTGCAACAGAATTCATTTTTCATGAAAAACGAAGGTTACAACTATAGAATTAACATATCAAAAATCGGCAAAAATCGAACCACGGCAAAGTTGCATAATTTTGCGAAATAAAAAGGTCAAATTCTACTGAATTTCATGCAATGTAATGCGCGCCATACGTCAAAAGGGAAATAACTTGTATAATGCAACTTCAATGTCAACAAGCGGAATTTGTTTTTGACGTAGATTTGACCCATTGGAACTGAAAATTGGTGCGTAAAGCTTGACTATTACAATAAATGTATAAATATAAATACATTTATCATGTTTTGAATCTTTAAAAGTATTGTTTTTCCCCGAGTAGCAATATTTTGCCGTATTCAAAGAAATCATGTTTCCTAGTCTTGTAAATGGTTTTATAAGTAATAATAACTGTTTAGCGACGTTTTCCACTTCTAAAAATGACATTTCATAGGGGGGTTACGTCAAAAATAAAAAAAGTATGGAACGCCATTGTTGACAAAAGGAATGAACGAGTCAATACAAGTATTTGTATTTACATTCCTATAAATGCTTCTGCAGTAATTTGTTTTGTTGTTTTTAAGTATCTTATAATGGCCAGCTGTAGGAATCGTGGTGTTAAGTGTTCTATTATCTTTGTTTGTCCGTCAGGATTACGGTTTCCGGATCATAACGTATGTTTGAATTGACCATTTTTTTTTTTAATTTTAACACAGTGTGGATATCCATTAAATAAGGGTCAACTAGATTTTTAGCCAGATCTTATGTAGTATATCAGACTCATTAATTCATCAGTTAGTTGAAAATAAATATTGTGTTTTACTGTTTAATTAGCAAATAAAATATGAAATACAATTATTGTTTTCCTTCAACCTATCCATGGGCTAATTATGTAATTTAATACTGGTTCTCTGTAACTATTTAAACTTTTATATAGGGAGTGTGGCACGCATGGTCATGGATTTTCTTCAAACTTCTCACACTTACTAGTCTTGATGAAACAAACAAAAAATGGCAAAATTTTGGTTGCTAAGCATATCGGTTGCCATAGCAACCGATGACCAGTTTTACCTCTTCTGGATATCTATGATTTTAAGCTGAAAATGGCTATTTTCAACATAATTTTTCATAATAAATGATTAAAAGAAAGAATATTTTTTTATGATTTTATCAAATATATGCATTTTATTAATGTAATTTAATAACTGATATTTTCATATTCATTTTCAATCATAATCACATATACCCCCCTTTTTATGTGGTTTGCATTAGGTAAAAAATACCCTTTTGAGGTCATTTTTGAATGCTCACCATAATTGTTTGCGGACACCTGAGTTAAAGTCAACCATCAATTCATAAATACCATAGTCTTATCTTATCAATGATGCGAAAAAGTAATGGGGAAGTATGTCTCATTTATTTGTTACCATGGATACAAAATGCTAAGTTTTCATTTTTTCAGAAAAAAAAAATTGAAAATTTTTGAAAAAAATGTTTTTAAACCTAATTCTGCAGTCAGAAAAAAAAAATAAATATACAATTTGTAGAAATGATTGTAATCATCAAAATTTGAAACATATTTATACATAACGGTATTATAGTTTTAACTGTGTTGCTATGGAAACAATTTCATGATGATACACAAGTTTAAAACAAATTTGAAAAAGTTTCAGTTAGTTTCTTAAATGTGCACAAAAGTAGGAAAACGAAAACACTTATTAAGTTTCACTGTATACACACATGTGTATATATAAATAATTTTGCTGGTATAGTATATCGATAATGGTGTTACCACTTGAATGAAACAAATACAATTTCTCTAATCTGGATAAAAGTGCTGATTATGAAGAAATTTCAGTCTGTTTTCATGATCATGAAAAATGTACAAGAAAAACAATGACTAAATCTAGAAAAAACAAATAAAATCATTTAAAAAATCATATATTCAATTATGCAATATTTGCCATTGAATGTGTTGCCATGGAAACAAGCAGTCCATTTGCAAAAATACTGATAAGTGCTAATTTTTACAAATTCGTTTAATGAACTTCGATACATATAGCAAAGAGTGTATACAATTTTGTAAAAAAGAAATGATCGATTAGTTGTAGTTTGCTTTATGTCCAGTGTCAAACATCTCATGCATATTTCAGAAGAGAACAAAACCAATAAATTTAATAGGAACATTGTAGGTCCTGTGCTAGTCTACTGACCAAAAATTAATAAAAGTCAATAATTTGAAACAATTCAACACAATAAAAAATAGAACCAAAAGAGTCAGACATTGATCCTCTAAATAAATGATAATTGACCATCTAACCTTTCTATAAAGGAAAAAATACCTTTGTTATGAGCTGTTTATTTTTCTTATTCATTCTTAAACTCAATGTTGAAATGGCAAAGCATGTATACATGTAGCTATACGTTTTGAATAATATTGTTTTATTGGATGATGAGTATCTTCATGAAGATCATTTTTATAAAAGTTATAAAAAATAAAAAAAAATAAAAAAGGTCCTTCAATAGGTGTAAGCTGGGATGAAGGCAGACAATTTGAAATATCACTAGAAATCGGGATCAATTGGACAAGGACAGACATTTCAATAGATCAACTAGGGAGCCCCTAAAAAAAGGGCGTAACAAGCAAGGGCGGGTACGGTCGGCCGTCGACCCGATGGTCCCTGCTATTCATCCGACACATTTCTTGTTTGACATTCTGGCCGGGGAGAAATTTTCGAGATTTTCCAAAAAGTTCCGTTTCCCTAAGAGGACCCACGGAAAATCGGTCAGCGGGTGACTGCTGGTCTTACAACGAGCAGCAGGGGGAAAATATACCATATAGACAATTGTCATACCAGGGGTACCACTGACTGCCTTAAGAGATGCCCGCTACATTCATGCTTTAGTGATTACATATGTAATCAACCAAATGTTTCCAATGAAAGGAAGGGCGGGCCCTCATGGCCCCCTGGATCCGCCTTTGGTAGCACTATATTTACATTAGTAAAAGGCATTGGATTAATAAAATTTGAGAAAATAACAGTAATCTTAATGGATTTTAAGCAGCAAATTAAAAAATATTGACAATATGATAACTCTTTACACAGGGTAACTTTAAAAAAATTATATGCATGTACATATACTTTGATTTCCACTGAAAGCCCATTACAGAAAGATGTTTCTCAAAATTAGTATATAATTGTCTTTCTTTAAACAACAAAAATTTAGATTTTACTTTGAAGCAGAAGTCTATGTTTATAACATATTATACACATGACTTTTTGTCCGCGACTTTTTGTCTGTGACTTTTTGTCTGTGACTTTCTGTCCTACATTCTGACCATTGTCATGACCAGGAAAAATGACTTTATACCTATTTAAATGTAATAGGCTTTGCATCAATTTATAGAAACACTTAGATTGAACCATTAATTTTATCAAATAAGAAAATATAAAATGCTTTACAAACTTTCGGGAACATTTAAAACTAAGACAAGGCTCTGGTAACCCTCAAGTTAAGTCCGCGAATATGTTTACTTATATTTTATGAAAATATTTAAACTACAAAGATATTGTGCATGCAGGGGCTCGGGCATACCTCAAGTAGTCTGCGAAATGTGTATTTGTTTTTATGAAAATATTAAAAACTGCCAAGATATCCTGCACAAGGCTCGCGCATGCCTTAAGTAGTACGTGGAAATAACTATTTACTGTTAGAAAATATTAAAAAACAAACTCTATTGGATTTATTAACGTACATGTATGTATGGCCTACTTCAATCACACCTTTTGAGTTACTTTATATTTGTGATCAAACGTATCAAATTAAAACCGGTAATATACAACATAATTTACAACACAGTTAAATACAATATACTACTCAATACCATAAAAATTTAAATAATTCGGTGCTCGTCATAGTACCCTAAACTGTTTTTCCCAGTTTTTTACCATTCAATCTTAATTCTATTTTTTTTTTAAATTTAACGAAAATCCAATAAGATATAAATAAGTATTAGGTAGTACAACGACCAGGACACAGTCAACGTTGGTCAGGTCAAGTTTTTTTTTACCAAAAACATATATTTTTCCTGTTTTTTTTTAATAATATAAAATAACAGAAATTTTCATCGGTCAGGTCATTGCTATTGTTGGTCAGGTTATTGTCAACGTTAGAAAGGTCACATTATCTGAATATTTTATTTTTTTATTAATTTATATATTAAATGATTAAACTTTATTATATTTCAAATTTAACATAAACCCTTTAAGAAATAAAAAAAGTTATTAGCATTTTCATTTGGTCCTGGCATTGTCAGTGTTGGTCAGGTCACGTTTAATGAAGATTTAAAAAAGTTTTCTATATTTTTTTTTCTTATATTTATGTATTGAATGGTCTAAATTTATAACAATTCAAATTTGACATAAATCCTTTGAGAAATAAAAAGTTAATAGCGTTTTCGTTTTGGTCCAGTCATTAGTGTAACCCATCAAAGGGAGATAATTCGTATTGTGTGGAAAATTGCACAATAATCATTTTTTAGAAATTAATTTCGCATGTTTTTAGGTAGATTCCCCATAACTTTTTTTGAATTTTGACTAAAACAAGAATGAAATTAATTGTTTTTGTGTTTCTTTTTAATAGATGTAGCCGCATAATTTCACAACACTACACCAAATATTGTATTTTTCTCAAAAATCCCAACTTTCTCTGCTGTTACCATGGTAACCAACCAATATATATATCGGTTGACATTATTTTTCTGACTAGTCTAATAGGATCTACATATCAGCAAATTTTCAGAAAGATCTGTGACTATGTGTGCCGAAAAAGTTTAAGTGGTTACAGAGAATGAGTATTAACTTTTAATCGAATTAAATTGTTATATGGTAATGATTGAAAAATCAAACTTTCCGTTTCAGGATAAATGGTGACCAAAGAGAGGCCCGAAGAAAGAAAGCAATGGTTATTTATCCCAATATACCACTAGAACAACAAAATTGAGTGATAGTAAGTTTCATGAAAATATATTTTTCATTGAATGATGAAGCTTATTTTGTTTTATATGACCATCCGTTCGTCTGCGCACGCGTTCATGTGATGTGATAAGTAAAGTTAATGTTTTCATGATTTCTTCAAATTGTACTTTTGAGTACAGTTAAAAATATCCATTTCGTTTTTGGTTATGTCACTATAAATTGTCGTTTTATGTAATAAGTACTGTGAAGCAATTAGAACATAATCTTACCGTCAAACAAATTTTGAGTATTTACTAGCGAATTCGCTTTGCTTCCAGTGACAAGCTACAGTGAGTAAGCATGATATTATTTTAATGATATTGATTGTGGATTTTTATTAACAATATAAAAAATAAACATTTCAATTATTTTATTATTTGTAGAACGTTAACTAAAAAAATATTCTTTGCCAGACTGCATTGAAACTAAATTATATTCTTCATTCATTTCAGATGTCCGGAAGTAGCTGTGTGATATGCAACGAACCTTTGGAGAATGGACAAGTTCTAATAACGATAAGAGAAAAAGGTGTCAAAACAATCAATGAAGTAAGCAAACATAGACAACAAAACGTATGTGTTGTAGCCGGCCAAATACTACACCAAGAATGTCGAAAAAAATATACAAATGCTAAAGAGATTCAGAAAATTAGTAAAGAGAATGCTGATAACGACAGATTTAATCGAGACACGCGATCATCACAGTATTTTAATTTTAGAGAGCATTGTTTATTTTGTGGACAGTCAGCTCAAATGTCAGATAGAAAATATGGAATAGAAGTATATCCAGTTAGAACTTTTGAATTCCAACAGAAAATTGGGGCAATATGCAAAGACCGGAAGGATTCATGGGCTGCTGACGTTTTTGCAAAACTTGAATATGCACAAGACTTACCTGCAGCAGATGCTATATACCATCAGAAATGTAGCGTTAACTTCAGGACAGGGAAAAATATACCTATTGGAACACCAGAGCAAAAACGAAAAAAGCAAGGTAGACCAGATCACACTGAGGCAAATATAACTTTTCTGAAGACTATGGATTATTTGCAAGAAAATGAAGAGGACCAATTGACAGTAAAAGACCTCGTTCATCAAATGACACAATTTTGTGGAGATCTGGCATACACAACAGTACACATGAAATCAAAGATCAAAACACACTTTGGTGATGAAGCTTTTATTACCGACGTCTGTGGAAAACCAAATGTGGTCAGTCTTCGTAAAACGGCATCTGCTCTTCTGCAAGAATTTCATCAGAGTAAAAAAACTTCAGAACCTGAAACAGAAAAAAGAGACATTATCAAAACAGCAGCTAAACTCCGATATCAAATCAATGGAATTTTCAAGGTCGGTGTATTCATCACCAGCTACAATAGCATCATGTGAGGAAAACATCGCATACTTACCTGACAGTCTTAAACAGTTACTTAGTGGAATATTTTCTGAAAAAGATTGCGATCTTAAAGTGGCAGCCATTGGCCAGTCTATCATGCAAGCGACAAGACCAAGATTTCTGATTGCTCCTTTACAACTAGGTCTAGGAGTTCAAATGCATCACCATTTTGGGTCAAAATTCCTCCTCGATACCTTATACCAACTTGGCTTTTCCTCATCTTATAAGGAAGTTCAAAAACACGGCGTGAATTCTGCTCTCCAGAGTAATGATTCTCCTCAAGAACTTGAAGGACGATTTATTCAACACATGGCAGATAATGTCGACCATAATATCAGGACAATTGACGATCATGGGACATTCCATGGAATGGGGATAATAGCAGGCATCACACAAGGTTATAACCACAAAACTATTGTGCAGAGATTGAATGTTTCGCTTGACGATATTGAACAAATAGGGAAAATCGATCTCCATTAGTACAACTTTGACCGAACATCAAAACTTAGTTTAAAATTCGAATCACTCGCAGCACAGCATTCGGATTCGTTACCCTTACCCGATAGCATCAGTCTTCTCTGTAGTACTCTTTGGTCAAAGAAAAAGATTGGGTGGTCGGCAATGTGTAATTTAGTGCAAGATGGAGCATACCCTGGTAAATCGACAATTCTATTTTGCCTATGATAGACCTTGAGCCGGGAAACCTTTCATGTATCTTTTCGACCATGAAGTTCGTATGTAATGAAGCGTTTAAGTACAGAGCTAATCCAATGCTTACATTTGATCAACCGCTTTATTGGAAAGCACTTACAATTATCGACAATGAACCAAAGGAAAGCGATTTGAAATCAATAGTTCTCAGATTAGGAGGTTTTCACCTAGAAATGAGCTTCCTGGGATCGATTGGTAACATTATGAGCGGATCTGGACTAGCTGAGCTCATGGAAACTGTCTACGCACCTAACGCTGTTTCGCATATGTTAACCGGAAAGGCAGTTGAAAGAGCAGTACGAAGTCATTTCCTCATTTATAATGCTTTAACCTCATTATTGATGTGCGAACAGTTTCAGGTATCTTCCGCTGTCTTGAAAGATAATGACATTGAAAATGGAGAACATGTTTCATTTCTTGAAGAAACTTCAGGTGACATGATAAGTGAAACTGATATTGAAGACTCTGAAAATCACAGTGAAAACACTTTTCCCCAGGATTTAAATGAGTTATTATTTTGATGAAATCCTCGAACAACGTGTTCCAGTAGACACCCTTGATCAAAATGAGATATTGAGAAAAATACGCGACAGTATATCAACTTTTAGAAATCACAAATCGAATACCGGACAGCTCGACTATGGTTTTTAAATATGGATATGGTGGACTTGCTGCGGAAATTCATTAGAGCTGAAAGAACTGGAAACTGGACCAGGCACAGAAAACACCATTGGCAGATGAAATATGGAACACGGGAAGTTGTGTATTTTCAGAGGACCATGGTACCAATGTTCACCACGTAATCGACGGTGGTTCCCTGATACAGCGAATCCCATGGAAAAAAGGTGCGACATTTGCAGAAATATGTCAGTTATACATCGACCATATTAATAACAGATATCCCATTCCAATAATCGTCTTTGATGGGTATGCGTCGGGACCAACGACAAAAGATCATGTACATGAACGGAGATCGAAAGGGGTGACTGGTACACACATCTCATTTAAAGATAGCACACCGTTTAAATCAAAGAAGGAAATTTTCTTAGCTAATAGAGAAAACAAGCAAAACTTCATCAATATGCTTTGTAATAAAATGGATAATGAAGGATTTATTTCTCTTCAAGCTGCTGCTGATGCTGATGTTCTTATTGCATCAACTGCTGTAAGATATGCATCTTGTTTCCGTACTGTTGTAGTTGGAGAAGACACTGATGTTCTCATACTACTGCTTTTCCATGCAGAGGAAAATTCTAAACCATTGGTTTTTCGATCCGATAAAATTCGAAAGTCCAAGGTATGGGATATCAAAAAGACCAAAGAGTTGCTTGGAAATGAAATAGTTTATTTGTTACCATTTATTCATGCTTTCACAGGATGTGACACGACATCTAGGCTTTATGGCATAGGAAAGAAAGAAGAACTGAAGCGGTTGCGTGGGAATGCCATTTTCAGAGAGTTAGCTTCAGTATTTTTAAAACAAGATGCAACTTCAGATGATATAATACAATCAGGACAGTCAGCTCTCGTTATATTATACGGAGGTGAGACCGGAGAAAGCTTAGACTAGTTACGCTACAGGAAATTTAATCATAAAGTTCTTACCAATTCTTTGTCTTGCGTACATGTCCAGTCCTTGCCACCTACTTCAGAAGCAGCGTCTCAACACTAAGCGTGCATATTATCAGATCCAAGAATGGACAAATGACTCTGTCGATATGTTTAGTCCATCAGACTGGGGATGGGTTCTACAAGGTACATCACTTTGTCCAATTCGAACGATTTTGCCTCCTGCTCCAAAGAAGTTATTGCATGTGATAAGGTGTAAATGTAAATCCGGTTGCGATACACGCAGATGCACTTGTAGAAAAAACGGACTTGAATGCAGCTCAGCATGTAGCGAATGTAAGGGATTGAACTGTTCAAACTGTAAAATACTTGACATATGGCAAAATTTGGGGTAATTTGCTAATTTGCATAGCGGCCATTTTGCCTTATCATGACGGCAGCCATTACAATAGGATTATATAAGCCCTTTTAATAAAAATGCCAATATGCAAATACCTATGTCGAATGAACAATTTGTTCGCATATAGGTGAATTGTACATGTTTTAGGCTTCTGTCCGTGTACAAATGGACATTGTCTACTCTGAAATCTTTCGGCCTTTTTAGTTTAAAAATCGGAAGCGTAACCATTGTGTAATTGCTATATAAGATCAATTAAATGACGTAAAATCGTAAAATAGCAAGATTCAAAACAGAAATACACATGCAAGCAGATATTGTTCATGATTTGTTCGCATATAGGGAAACACCTTGTAGGTTCAATTTTAAAGTTAAATAACTTTTAACTTACCTGCTTTCTTAAGTTTTCAGCCAAATTCTTTTAAAAACATGATGATTTCAACCTTCCCATTTCGCAAAAAGTCAAATTTTAAGCATTTTTCCTTAGAATTACACAGCATTTTTGTAAATATCCGCCAAAGGAAGTTTTTAAAGATACATTAGTTTTAGATACATGACGGAAAAGGACTGGATTATCCGCAAATCTATAATAAATTATATTTTCAATCTTAAGCTAAGGGAAGTAATTTGATCAAAAGGGACAAAGTCACGTGGTGCAAATGATTTGAATAAAGTACCTTTGATTTTGCCATATGAGATTCATGAGGATGAGGACGATAGTGACATTTAGTTCTAACATTTACATGTTTGGTTGGTCACGGCTGTGTCTCTAATATAACATTTAAGCAAGAACTTTGAAACGACAGTTTGTTCTATAAGATTTACTTTTATAACAATGTGAATTTAGAAATATTGTTTTGGTCTCCCTCTTCTATGACTGTGTTTTTGATTTAAACTACATTAATATGTCAAAATAATGAGTACTATTTTTCTGTTGAAGCCTGCTCATTCTTTGAGGGATTAAAATTCTTAATGTTAATATAACACGAGAATGAAATTTTAAAAGATTTTTTGGATTTAATTGTTTTTCCCAGTTATCACCGATTTTCTATTCAAAATCAGCATTTTTTACCCAAAAAACTTATGGTTATGCATTTTTAATATTTCATCTCGATGATACATATGAATGAAACGTTTCCTTTAAAAAATAAGGACTTTGAGTAAAAAACTTTTAAAAAAATCAATTTTTCCAGTTTTTAGCGATTTTCACATAAAAATCCCCATTTTACCCAAAAAACACAAATTTCCCGTGGTCTATGAAACGCCGATTTTTAATATGTCACAACCAGGTATCCAATGAAGTGAAATTGATATAAATTGTTTCTGTTGCAATTAGTTTGAGGTTGAGCCACTTTTCACCTCAGATTCCCTGGACTAAATAAAGGCAACAGTAGTATACCGCTGTTCGAAACTCATAAATCGATAGAGATAAAAAAAAATTCGGGTTACAAACTAAAACTGAGGGAAACGCATCAAATATAAGAGGAGAACAACGACACAACAAAAACACAACATTAAAATGTAACACACACACAGAAACGAACTATAATATAACAATGGCCATTTTCCTGACTTGGTACAGGACATTTTAAGAAAAAATGGTGGGTTGAACCTGGTTTTGTGGCATGCCAAACCTCCCGCTTTAATGGCAACGTCAAACACAACACCAAAACGACAACATCACATGACAGGACCACAATACAAATAAATGGGAGAACATATAGGACAAAGAAACACACGAATAATAGCTAACAAAAGGTACTAGGCTTAAAATTCAATACGCCAGACGTGCGTCTCGTCCACACAAGACCATCCAGTGACGCTCAGATGAAAAAAGCTTGAAAGCCAAAACAAGTACAAAGCCGAAGAGCACCGAGGACCAAAACTACCAGACTCAAGCTAGCGAACACTTAGCCAGCGAACAATAAGATGCATCAAGCTAGCGAACAATAAGCCAGCGAACAATAAGAAAACGCGCCAACATGATCATGCCTAAAAACCGAAGACTTGCAATAACACAAAACGTCCTTTTAATTCTAATGACACTAATTTCCAGTAGAAGAACGAAATGCAATTCCATTTTAACACAGACAAAGTTAATTAGTTATTCGTGTATCTAATGCAACTGTTTTTTAACCGGACATCTAAAATTCCTATTAGGTAATCCTTTCTCTTTTTAGTGCTCTCTGATTCGAGATGGGTTTGTTGTTTTTATAATAATGAAACAATTAATAACAATAGTTCACACTAAACTAGTGTACATGTAACGATACAAATAAATCTTCTACTATACATATGCGTTTGAAAAGAAAAGAAAAATAAGTCATCTGATTTTGGAACGTCCAGTATTTTTTGTTAGATTTTCTTTAGAAATAAAAGCATCATACGCAGTTTTCTTCTTTTGTCAAAGAACTAGTTCATTTTTCTAATAATTCAAAAGTATGTCGTCACTCTGGTAATGTATTTACTATATTTCGATAGGAAGAGTGATAAGTGTAAGAGAGGCACCCAAATAGAACGAGAAAAGAATTGACATAAAGATTTTGGTCCAAAGTTGGGATATGGTGACCCTACCACCACCCAATTTTAATTCATAAAAAAGTCCCTACGGCAAAGCTTTTGTCCACACTAGGTACAAATGATAGGCAATTGCCTAAGGTTGCCTGGACCCAAAGACCAAGGTGGGTAAAGTTACGGAACTTTTTTAATTGAGGTCCAAAGTTGGGGTAGGGTGACCCTACCACCATCCAATTTTAATTCATAAAAAAGTCCCTACGGCAATATTTTTGTCCACACTAGGTACAAATGATAGGCAATTGCCTCAGGTTGCCTGGACCCAAAGTTCCAGGTGAGTTAAGTTACGGAACTTGTTTTATTGAGGTCCAAAGTTGGGGTAGGGTGAACAAACCCCCACCCAATTTTAATTCATAAAAAAGTCACTACGACAAAGCTTTTGTCCACACTAGATACAAATGATAGGCAATTGCCTAAGGTTGCCTGGACCCAAAGACCCAAGTGGGCAAAGTTACGGAACATTTTTAATTGAGGTCCAAAGTTGGGGTATGGTGACCCTACCACCACCCAATTTTAATTCATAAAAAAGTCCCTACGGCAAAGCTTTTGTCCACACTAGGTACAAATGATAGGCAATTGCCTAAGGTTGCCTGGACCCAAAGACCAAGGTGGGTAAAGTTACGGAACTTTTTTAATTGAGGTCCAAAGTTGGGGTAGGGTGACCCTACCACCATCCAATTTTAATTCATAAAAAAGTCCCTACGGCAATATTTTTGTCCACACTAGGTACAAATGATAGGCAATTGCCTCAGGTTGCCTGGACCCAAAGTTCCAGGTGAGTTAAGTTACGGAACTTGTTTTATTGAGGTCCAAAGTTGGGGTAGGGTGAACAAACCCCCACCCAATTTTAATTCATAAAAAAGTCACTACGACAAAGCTTTTGTCCACACTAGATACAAATGATAGGCAATTGCCTAAGGTTGCCTGGACCCAAAGACCCAAGTGGGTAAAGTTACGGAACATTTTTAATTGAGGTCCAAAGTTGGGGTATGGTGACCCTACCACCACCCAATTTTAATTCATAAAAAAGTCCCTACGGCAAAGCTTTTGTCCACACTAGGTACAAATGATAGGCAATTGCCTAAGGTTGCCTGGACCCAAAGACCAAGGTGGGTAAAGTTACGGAACTTTTTTAATTGAGGTCCTAAGTTGGGGTAGGGTGACCCTACCACCATCCAATTTTAATTCATAAAAAAGTCCCTTCGGCAAAACTTTTGTCCACACTAGGTATAAATGATAGGCAATTGCCTAAGGTTGCCTGGACCCAAAGACCTAGGTGGGTAAAGTTACGGACTTTTATTATTGAGGTCCAATGTTGGGATATGGTGACCCAACCCTCTCCATTCTTTAATTTATAAAAAAGTCCCTTTTTGCCCACACTAAGAACAAATGAAAGGCAATTGCATAAGGCTGCCTGGACCCAACGACACAGGTGGGTAAAGTTACGGAATTTCTACAACTGAGGTCCAAAGTTGGGATATGATGACCGTACCCCCCCCCCCTACTTCAATTAATAAAAAAGTCCCTACGGCAAAACTGTTGTCCACACAAGGTACAAATAATAGGCAATTGCCTAAGGTTGCCTGGACCCAAAGACCCAGGTGGGTAAAGTTACGGAACTTTTATAATTGAGGTCCAAAGTTGGGATAGGGTGGCCCAACCCCCTTCCTACTTTAATTCATTAAAAATTTCCTACGGCAAAGCTTTTGTCCACGCTAGGAACAAATGATAGGCAATTGCCTAAGGTTGCCTGAACCCAAAGAACCAGATGGGTAAAGTTACGGAACTATTGTAATTGAGGCCCAAAGTTGGGGTAGGGTTATCCTACCACCACCCAATTTTAGTTCATAAAGAAGTCTCTACGGCAAAGCTTTTGTCAACACTAGGCACAAATGATAGGCAATTACCTAAGGTTGCCTGGACCCAAAGACCAAGGTGGGTAAAGTTACGGAACTCCTACTACTTAGATCCAAAGTTTGTAGACCGTATCTCCCAACTTGAATTCTGAAAAAATTTCTCACGGCAAAGCATTTGTCCACTCTAGTAACACATGATATTAATTGCCTAAGGATGCCTGGACTCGAAGAACCCGCAGGTGGGTAACTGATTTCACATTTGGGGTTTGCACACCCTATCACATCCCAAGTTTAATTTTGTCAAAAAATCATTCCGGGTAAGCGTTTTCTCACTAGGTACAAATGATAGGCAATTCCCTACGTGTTACCTGGAACAGATGGGCCGGGTGGATAAATACTTGGAACGTTTGCAACTGAGGTCCAAAGTTGGGAAATGGAGACCTTTTCCCCTCAAAACTTTAATTCGTCAAAACAATTATCTACGCGGCAAAGCTTTGACCACATAAGGTACAGATGAAATTCAATGGCATAAAGTTGCCCGGA